CCTCTTGTCTGGTTCAAAAGAGGAAAAGAGAAATGATGAGAAAGGAGAAAAATTGAGAGGTTAGGCCATTTGGAGTGGTAAGGTATTAGGAGTCTAAAATGTCAAAAATGGAAATTTTAGACTCCTAAATGCTTACATTGGAGACCAATTTGGGAGTCTAAAAATGGAAAATTGGATAGAAGGTCTCATATATAAAAGGTTGGGTTGACAGCCAAAAAGTATGGAAAAAAAGGAAAATGCTGCCTGAAACAAATAGTGGACAACAAAAAAGGGAGCATACGGAAGAATAATGGGACCACATAAAAAATATTTTCTTTTTTAAAAGTGTGATAACTTATTTATTTGTGCTTCAATTTTTACAAAACATATATCAAATTTTTTATTTTTTTATGATCTTTCATATGACACCAATATCACATAAATAAAATTAAATGTATAAATGATGTTCAAACTGCTAGAGTATTTTAGGCTGAAAAAATACACGAAACATAAATTTATTAAACCATGGTGTCTCCACAAATAGACAAACAATAGTTGAACCCAATTTTAAACCCAATTTATATTTTAATAGCACAAAAAAGTATAAAAGAAATTAAAGATTTTTTTTAACATCAGAATGTGCATTTTTTACACATGTGAAAAGGGAATCCAATGTGTTATGGATAGACACACAAGTTGAAAAGAGAATCCAATGTTCTAATAAGTTTGAACTCAGTTCATCGAAAAACGTAAAAAAAACATTAATGAAATTTATTTTTTTACATTGGAATGTGTCTTTTTTTATTTTATAATTATTCAAAGAAAAAATTAAAGGGAAAACATTACTTATAATAATTTAATTAATGTTTTACTAAGTTGAGATGTAAAAAAATGTGCAGAGTGTATTTTATTGACGGTGCTGGAATGCAGAGAAATAAGAGTCAAAACACTGTTTTCATATCGACGGAGTCCATTTTTGACATTTAGACTCTCACACCACTCCAAATGGTCTTACATATATCATTGTTCCAAAAAAGGTTGAATCGCCAACCCGTGCGCACCAGAGGCCCAGCCTTATTTCAGGTTCTGTGACCTCCACTCGGCTGCTGCGGGGATTCGAACCTTGGTCATTGTTCCAAATTTCCCACCACTCGACCAACTGAGCTACCCGTGCAGGTTACATATATCAAGTTAGATTCAATGGAGGGAAGATGAGTTTACTTAGTATCTACGACATTATTAGATAAAAAAAATCCAAATTATAAACAAAATATAAGTAGCGAACAAAAATGTGATAATTAGTAACTTTAGTAACTATAATTATATTCAAATGTTACATTGTATCATAATGACTATAAAACCTACACATAGTAACTCATAGCACTACAAAAAAACACGCGTGTAGTCACGGAAACTAGTCACGGATTTGGTCTGTGACTAGTTTGTCACGGTCGTAGTCACGGAATAGTCACGGACTTCCAAAAAAAATAGTCACGGTTATATCCGTGACTACTTTATTCCGAATAGTCACGGTTATATCCGTGACTACTTTATTCCGGCCAACCCATGTTTGCCTCCGGCGGGATTTTTTTTGAATTTTAAATTAGTCACGGGTAGATCCGTGACTAGGCCCAAAAATAAATTTTCCAACGCCCAAAAGTTAACTCGGACTGGTAATTTGTACGGATGAAAGTAGTCACGGACACATCCGTGACTACGGCCGTGACTATTTTTCCCATATATGCAGCCGTTGGTTCATACACATAAGCACACAAACTGTTTAGAAAAACAACAGAAAAACAACACATTGAAGGATGTAATCTAGCCATCTTCTATCATTTTTCCTGTTTATGCAGATAAGATATGTAATTTGAATTACGTTTTTTGTGTAAATTATTTGGTTCATATTAACTCTAGTAACAAGTTAAATTGGCTAGCTAGAGAGATTATTAATTATGCAAATTTCATTTAATTTAGTGAAATTTGGTTAGTTAAACGTAAGTTTAATCGTAGTGACGCATTAAGTTAAATTAATAAGTTAAATTAGTTAATTTTTTGTTAATATTAGTTGAATGTAAATTAAATGCATTTAATTTTTTTTAATTAATTAACGAAATAAATTAGTTAACATTAGTTAAACATAGATGTAGTTCAAACATAGGTTGTCTTTATGTTGTTAAAAAAATGTTGTTAATTAATTAACGAAATAAATTAGTTAAAATTAGTTAAACATAGTTGTAATTCAAACATAATGAATTAAGTTGTATTTAATTCAAATTACGTAAATTAGTTAAATTATAGATGATATTAGTTAAATGTAAGTATTATTTAATTCAAATGAGTTTATATATGCTTAAATATAATTATAGGATTTGTTTATTAGCAATTATTGTTAATGCCTAATTTAGGATTTATAATGATTTGAGTTAGGGTTAATTATTCAGACATTACTTAATAAGTGTGATAAATTAATATTTTGAATTATGTGAACTTCATTTAATTTAGTGAAAATTAGTTAGTTAAACGTAGGTTTAGTCGTAGTGACGCATTAACTTAAATTAATTAATTAGCTAAATTAGTTAAATCTTTAATAATATTAGTTAAATTTAAATATTAGTTAATTCGAAAATTAGAAAAAGGTTGTTAATTAATTAACGAAATAGATTAGTTAAAATTAGTTAAACGTAGGTGTAATTTAAGCATAATGTTAATTAATTTGTACTTAGTTAAAATGATGTAAATTAGTTAATTATTGGATTTTCTCATATTATTTAATTTAGTGAATTGTTAAATGTGTATTATTAATAAGATGTTGATAATTTTAGTATTGTGGATTAAATGCCATTGACGTATTTTTTGTAGTTTAATAATATTAATTGGACGTTAGTTAATTTTAGTTACAAACATGCCGGAGAAGCTTTTCCGGCGTATACTTAGTCACGGACCATGACCGTGACTAAGCCGTGACTACATTTAGTCACGGTTACATTGCTGTGACTACATTTAGTCACGCTCAAAGAATCACGGAGATAGTCACGCACAATATCCGTGACTAACAGAGTTAGTCACGAATTTTTTACACTGAGGTCCGTGACTAAGTCCGTGATTACAGGCGTATTTTTTTGTAGTGTAGTCACATTTTTGTCCATGAATTTTTTTATTAGTAGTACTTTAGTATAAGAATAAGAATGCATTTGGTCCAATTTCTGTTGTAAACTTGTAATAATTAAAGCTAAGATATACTGAGTATAAAATTATTATACATTTGGTACAATTTTTGTGTAATTAAAGATACATGTATCTCTATTTGTCGTAATTATAGATGCATTAATCTCCATCCAACACACGTTTAAAATTCAATCACAGAATAACGGGGAAAAATGTTGACTCGAGAGTATGTAATACAAAAAAAAAAAAATCAGCTCAAGTAAATACTGAAAAACTAATTGCTCAACATGAGATAAATTCTTTTAAATGCGGAAAAAATTAATACTTCCAGTCAAAACATTAATACATAAGAGATAAGTGAGAATTAGATCTATCTAATCTTCAATATGTCTAATTATTGAAGATTAATTAGAACTATATATTGTTGTTGTTAAAATTAATTAGTTATTTACATGTACGTAATTTTCTTTATACTATTTAATTAATAATGTAAGAAGTTTGTTTTTATAAATTAAAGAATAACATAACATACACATTATAACATGTTGATTTATACTACGTAGTATTTTATCAAATCGATAACTAAACTCTATTGCAAGACAATATATTTAGCATATATGTGACAAATTATTGAGACATAACTATAAACTCAAATGTGCTTTTCGAAGGCTCTCTACCGCTTGAATTGAAAGAAAAAAACAAGTCACTGCTTTTAATCTGGTTGTGAAGAAATATTCATTTTCATATTTTGTTCACTCATACAGAATTTAATAAAAAATGCTCCAAATTATCGAAGACTTCTTTTACAATATATATATCAACAAGGGTATAATATCCACATATCGCAATTTTGAACTAAGGTGGACTTATAATCCTATATATCAATACTTGCAACTGTCTAGTGTCTATGAGTATTAGTATTGTAATGTTCGGTTTAATTATACACCACTTTTAAAAATATTCGAAAAAATTGATAAATATAAGTAAAAGAAATAAGTAAATTCAAATGCCCAATGTAGATGGAACAAATCAATTTTAAAGCAAATAAATCAATGCGAACCCGATCGATAGTGGATTGAATCGCCATTAGTGTGAATTTGAAGTATTTATTTATTTACATTTATTCTTTTCTTGCTCCTCTTCCTCTGTTTTTCATTTTTCCCATATTTGTTGTTTTCTCTTGCCTTTTTACTTTTTTTTGTTATTTTTTGTTGCTTTTCATTAATAAAAATTCCCATTCCAATTTACATCTTTTCTTTACCTTTTTAAATTTAAAAAAAAAACTTTTTCACCAAACATTCTAACTTTTATTTCTTCTTTTTCCAAACACTACCAGTCTACCATCATTTGCTATTAATCATTTTTCATGAAATCTCTAAACTAAATCTTATCTCATTAAAAGTATGTAAGCGCTAATACTACTTAATAAGAATATAAGCGGTTCCAAATGACATCACCAGTTAAGAACAGTTGAATGCTTAGGCAGAGAATTCATTGAATGGAGGTTATGGACTATGGAGGCAGTAATTTTAATAGCAGCCATTACAGTTTACAAAAGGAAAATGGAACAAAAATTATTGAGCTGAAGCTTAAGTCAATTACATTGACAAAAAAACATGGAAAATTCCCATTCCAATTTACATCTTTTCTTTACCTTTTTAAATTTAAAAAAAAAACTTTTTCACCAAACATTCTAACTTTTATTTCTTCTTTTTCCCAACACTACCAGTCTACCATCATTTGCTATTAATCATTTTTCATGAAATCTCTAAACTAAATCTTATCTCATTAAAAGTATGTAAGCGCTAATACTACTTAATAAGAATATAAGCGGTTCCAAATGACATCACCAGTTAAGAACAGTTGAATGCTTAGGCAGAGAATTCATTGAATGGAGGTTATGGACTATGGAGGCAGTAATTTTAATAGCAGCCATTACAGTTTACAAAAGGAAAATGGAAAAAAAATTATTGAGCTGAAGCTTAAGTCAATTACATTGACAAAAAAACATGGAAAAAATAAAATGAATGGACATTGACAGCTTTTCGTTGCGACTTCCACTAAATCCTCTTTGCCTAAATCTCAAAGCAAAGGCAAACAAGATTCAGTGGGAGCTGCAAAAAGAAGCTTCATGACCTCCCCTTTGGGCAACAAAAAATAAAAACTGTTGCTTCTGCTCCAATCTCTATTCAACTAGCTAATGTCACTACTGTAAAAACACCAATGTACAAAGTACAAAGCCCTATGGTTCCACATGTATACTCCCTTCATCCATCATAACCGGTAAATTGTCGCCTTTGATCCACCTAGACTGGTAAGTTTTCGCCTTGTTGGGAGCGATTAGCTCAAGGGCATGGTGCACACACTTGTGATATGAAAAGTCTTCAGTCGTTCCATCGGATCGCACCACCATGAAGCATCGTGATCCGAACTTTTCATCACACCCTACCTGTGATCAGAAAAAAAAAATGAAATCACCTAAATAGAGTTGCACTAACGAAACAAAATTGATTTTTTAGGTAAAAAATATCATCACATTGAGCAAAACTATGGAACCAAATCTTGGACCAAATGAGAAGCCACGGGCTACAAGACTGAATGGGCAGTTTGGGTTCATAGTCATGCACTGAGAAATAAGATAATAAATTTGCACAACTTGTTTTCAGCTTGATCTAATTGCCAGACTTAATCAAACATACCTTAACTTCTTGTGCTCCCGCCCCAATTTTCTTGTCCCGTTTAGGATGCAAGTGCAAAGCTTTCATTACAACAGACTTATCAGATTCGTTCAACTGATCATTAACACGATATCTGCAACAATGTATAAGACCATGAAGAGAAGTAATAATTTAGTTTGTTCATAACAAACAGGGGTGTCAAAATACAAAGCTAGAAGGAACAAATATACCTTTGAGTTTTATGTAAGAGAACACATACATCCTTCAATTCCTTTTTTTAAATTTGAATGCAAAGGTTGTGAAATATATCAGAGAACCATTATATAATTGTCACCTTTACAATTTTTGTGTTATTTGTTGCAAAAGAAAGTTAAAGGGTATATTTGTTGGCTGACATATTATTCAAGGGCATATTTGTTCCTAGAATAACAATTATTGCAAAGTAAATAAATAAAATGAAATGTTGACTTACGACTTCAGGATATTACAGAGTGAATGGGAGAGCTTTTGAATGTCATCTATTGAGAATGCTTTAGAAATTGATTTTCTCAACATATCTGCACGCCTCTCACGGTCTATGTCATCATATTTTCTTGGCAGTTGACTGTGAGATTTTATGGAAATTTCGTTGGTCTCTATGGGACTGACCACTGGGTTCTGCTTCATCAGCAGTGAGTGCATACTCAACAGGCTGTACACATTGGTTGGCTCTGCAGGTTTATGCCCCTGGTGGTGAAAGAATTAGTGTTATAAGATATGTTTGGGTTACTAAAAATGCCAAGGAAACCAAATGCTAAGAAATGCAGTTTCTTATTTTGGGATCTATTCCCGAAAATGCAAAGAAAAACGAAAAAATGGTATACTTTTTTTTAATCTTTTATTTTTGTTGCGTGCAGTTAAACCATACAATTAAAACAATAAAAATGAATCCATTGAATTTGAACTGATTTGTTATTTTAGTCATCATGAATTTCACTTCTATGTTCTTTCTTGAGCATTTTCTTTGTTCCAAAGGGAATAACGAACCTATTAAGTAGCAAAAAGTTACTAAAGAATCAAACTCAGTTTAAGGATGTCTAACACCAATTGATTTTGAAAACAAATTAAGGATGTCTAACACCAACTGATTACTATTAACTTGGATGTAAACAATTAAGGAAGTCTAACACTGAAAAATATCTAGGCGAGAAAACTATTACCTCCCCAGAGTATAAAACGTCAAACTCAAAACCCGTGCCAATGGAAGGAACCTTTCCCCATGACAATGCTTCGGCACTCCCTCGAAGCTCATCGACCAATCCTGCCTTGGCTGCTTTGATAAATGCAATCCCGGGACTCTGCATTAAATTCCATCAAACACTAACATGCTACTCTTTCTTATTAGTATGTTAGGTTGAATATCATCTTTTAATATTTTTGTGGAAAACAGACTGGTCAATGGGTTTATATGTAATTTCAAGAAACGCCTAAGGTCATATGATAATATGAGTATATGACAGAACTCCAAAAGTTGTAGACTTAATTTAACTCATGAAAGAAATATAACTAGATCTGAATGTTGATAATCACCTTATAAGATGCTTGGGAGAAAGGTGCAGAGACAGAATGTGCCTTCCTTTGGTCTGATAGCCCTTTGGCATTCAAAGCAACAAATTCTCCCGTGGATGATAGGCAGTCAGCGGCAAGAGCCAAGTGTTCCGGAAGTATATGCTTGCCCACATCAGACACTGCAGAGCTTAGACCCTGAAAAGGAAATGTATTTTCTTAACTTTTTAAGGGTCTCTGTTTGGAAAGCAGAAAATGCTAGGGATAGAAAATATAGAAGAAGTTTGGAAGGAAGGAAAGAAAATGTTTAAGGAAAACAAAATACTAGTCAAACTCAATAATTCAACTCTTGATACTTGATTGAATCCATATTTATTCATTCACTATTCAGTCAATCATATGTATTTACAAAAATAAATACTGAGCAATCTAAACATATGTACAAAGTAATGATGTATGGAACCATTCATAAATATTTCATTTTGCTTAGCATTTTCACAAGAAAAGCTAAGCACGAAAAAAAATCTTTTCTAAGGTTTTTCTTTACTTTCCCTGCATTTTCTGGATCCAAACATAGCCCAAATATACAGACATTTCTCATTCCCAAGGTCAATTTACATTCAAATCACTTTTCTAAACTAAGGATAACTTTTATACTTTTAGTTCCAAATTTGTATTTTTCCTACATTTTGCGCATGATTGTAAGATCATGCCCACTTTTGATCATTGACTTCAATCTTTCAATTTTGGTGCATGACTATTAAATGATGCCCACTTTGGTGTCTGGGTTTTTATTTTCCCACATTAGGTGCATAATTATTTTCGTATTTGCTTTTGTTTTAAAGAATGTTTCATCTTTCATGGTCCTTGACTTTCACACCTTTTTTCACTTTAGTCCATTCCACAACTTATACAGTTATACCCAGACAAGACTGAAAGTGGCAAGAAATTCAACCTTGCACAAACCTCGCACAACTGAAAGTTGAGGTCCAAGAGTAGGAAAGTCCTAATAGTCATGCGGCAAAAAAAAAAACTTAAAATCAACTAGACACTACAAGAATGGTCCACCTCTATGCGACCTATGAATTCAATTTGACACGATTTACAGTTCCTAAGACAAGGTTATATAATAGAAGTGAAGCATAAACAAAGCTAACAAATGTAGAGAGTCATAACTCACATTAAGAAAAACTTCCCAAGCAACGTCAACGCCAAACGCCAGAAAGAGATCATGGATGTCATCTGGATGGCTGCTCTCCCAGTCAATCATGTCTGTTATTTGTAGGCAGCTATCAAGAATGAGATGCCAGAATGTGGTTCTCACACAGTTCTCTGACATGAAAACCCTCAAATAAAGTTCTCCATGAGATCTCTTTGAACCGTCCTTCCATAAGATATCAACTTTCTTGAATGCTGAAAATCCTAAGCAAATCAAGGGGGGAGGAATATCAACTACATACTCAATAATAATTATTTTCACCACAAAATTTGTCTGGAGGCAAAAGAAATAAGTATATACTTAATAAAAATCTAAATATATGAAAAATAAATTGATGACTACACAAATTATGACTGTCAGGACACTTTTTTTTTGTTTCCTCAAATTTGAAGGATCCAAACGTACCCTTAACGACGGTTCCTAGTAGGAAGGGCATGACAATATCACGCAGGGCATCACATTCTGCAGACGAGTCTTTTAATGCTTCCACAAATGATGCAGTAATGCAGAGGTCTGTTTCTATCTTCCGCATGTCGGAATCAGAACAATCACTGCGAAAACAAATAAAGATTGTGAGAGAAAGTTATTTATTCATAGAATTTTAGTTTTACATGGGTTGTTTTTATTTTTTACAGAAAATGGATATTAGTGAATCCTTACTTGCATCTTATCTGCAGTTTTGGAAGTTCAATTTTTTGTTTAGCATATGTGGTTGTTGAATGCACCCGAAGCACATTAGCAATGGTTTGCGTAGTGAGCCTTCTCTTATTTGCAATGTCCTGTAAACAAAAAATTAAGAAGCATGAAACTAACAGAAATGGTAAGACAAAAACAAAGCAAACTGAAATAAACTAAATTGAAAAGATAAAATAAAATAAGATAAGATAATAAAATAAAATAAAATAAAATATACTCCAGAATACGAAGTAAAATAAAATAGAACCGCATCACTATTACCTTTTTTATATGGAAGTGACAAATCCATGGGCTACCACTGTCTCGGCATGTCCCAGGGGAGAAGCTATATTTATTTATAAAGAGTTATTATTAAAACATAACGAATTACCAAAAGAAAAAACTAAACATATAAAATGTAATAATACCAACCAGATCATTACTGTAGAAACAATGTCTGAAAACAGAACCCTTTCCAGATGCCTTTTCACTTCCAAAGCTCCATATTCAAATCCATAAGCATATTTTCGGAGCTTCTTGGACAAGTACAGTGAAGCCGTTTTCTCCCCACTACTTCTTCGCCCACCAGATTCCAACACTTTCTGTTTTATCATATGATACATCGCCATATACTCAATAAAACATTGCAACAAGGAGAAAAGAATGCATCTATATAGTCATTTTAGAATCTTACAACAGTAAGGAAAAACTGTGATTTTTAAAATGATAATTAGTGCTGTCATTGATTGACTCATTGACCAAGCGCAATATTCTGTGGACTTACAAGTATTAAAAGTAACAACCAAAAGCGCAACAATCATGGGAGGACTAAAGAATAAAGTGCCAAATGACGACTTCTTTATGAACAAAGTGCATTTAGTTAATACAGTAATTAAAGATATTAACAGAAGCAAGAGAAAGAAAACCACCTTAAGGTTCATTAGCGGTGAAGACTCGAGGATGCTAACAGGCTGATCCAAAGCGCTATATGCAGCTTCAGAAAGAGCACAAGCTGCCAAGGATCCCACCGGATGACCTCCCAGAACATCAGGCACTTCTTTACTGTAAGAAAATTGAACCACGTGGTTCCCATACGCGTTTCTAACTGTTCCGTCATAACCGACGTACAGATCACGCAGGAAAAACATGAGATTACGCGTCAAAATTCCGGAAACATCTGCGTTCCCGCTAAAAGAACTCTCCCTGGTCGTCAGTGAGTGCACAAATCCCTCAAGCGGGTTCAATCCCACAAGAAAAGAGTTCTTCACCACGGCACAAGGGACATAAGGTCCAGAAGAATGTTGTGGAACATTCCACCCGGTTGATGAAAGGTTGTATGGGATTTGGAATCCCATTGTGATCGAGGCGTGCTGCAGACCAAGACACATACTATGCTGTACGGCTTTCAGAAGGTTACCTTTGCTTCCTGCCTTTAGCATGGCAAGCAAAGAGTTCTCCTTGTTTGCATAAATATAAAAGAGATTCTGGACATCCCTAAATTCCCTCTTAAAGGAAGATATTGAAGCCTGACTATTTCCAACTGTCTTCTTCTTCGTCTGTTGAGAAAAAATAGTCTTTGCAGCTTCCTGGTGCCTCCCGATCAGAAAGTCTTGGTTATCTTCAACTAGAATCTGAGAAATGGAAGAAAGCATCTCTACTTCTTTTAAACCACATGAAATCTCATCAATCATGTTCTTACGGGTCACGGAGTCATCAGAGAGATAAAGATCCAACAAAGAAATGCTTAATCCCCTCATTGTTAACCATTCACAGAGAGCATCTTGGGCAGAATCCAAGAACTTAAGTGCTTCTCCTCCACAATGTTTGATAATGCTTTGGAAAAGATTCCCGTGGGGCCCATCACCGATCCAGGTGGATCCGTTTGAAGACAGAACCTCGCCTTGGCTTATGGTAACCCCGTTTGACCGAAACTGATAATCAAAGTCTCCTGGCAGAAACATGCTGAACAACTGTTTCCCCGTCCATGCACAAGGTTTGGTTATAGCCGGCAAAGGGAGTTGAGCGGGGTTACAGAACATGCTTAGCTGCTGCATATCAAAACAGTCGAGTAAAATGCCATCTTCCAGTAATAGGTGGGCAGCCGTTAAACTGTCATGGCTAAGTGACAATAGATTCTTCCCGCTTTGCACGTCAGTCAGCTGGTTTTCCAAAGAAACTAGCTCCCGTAGCTCTACCCGAGACTCCAACGATTGAGGTACAAAACCATGAAGGCAATCACCATCGAAGTCACCACGAAGTGGAGAGCAGATGAGTGGGTTAACAGATAGAACGGAGCTCATGGGGAGTACCTTGACTGTAAGAGCAATAAGGGAGTGTGGATGGATAGACGGTGGTCTGTTTATTAACACCACGTCTCCGTCAGCAACCGGCCTGTACACAGTATCACCCTTTCGCAGCTTTTCCAATGCGGTGATCCGAACCACCTCTCCGTCCCTTCTAACCACGACACGCCCGTTTTTAAGAATGCCAATGCCACATATCTCGGTCAACCTTTGCTCATTCCGAGAAGTCAACTGTTCGCTGACCTGGAGGTCTTCTGCCACGTGACATGGGACCCCCAGTTCACTCAGATGTACCTTCGGGTCCCCGACCACAACCAGCCGGAAGGCATGATCCGTACGTTTTCCAATGATGAGTTCTTTGAGGAACTTCAGACCACAAGCAGTAGATATTGGGTCTTGGCTTGCTTGATTCCTGGCAACGCGTAGCTGTTTTTAAGATTTTTAATGATTAGTCCGGTGAGGTTTTTGTTTGTGAAAACTGCAAAGTTTTTTTAATAAAAAACAGACCTTTGTTAACTTTGTGCAGTCAAGAACACGCATGCTCAAGTCATTCGCAGTCCCTCTGAAGTCCACCAGTTTCTTATAAAGCCCATTCCTTTCATCCTATTTCAATTTTTCACAGAGGAGTTAGAATTAGTGAGAATCATTCAAGATTTAACCGTTTTTTTAGATAAACTTACAAAGAGCATATCTTGGCGGAATTCCACGATTCTGTGACAGTTTGGAGTCAAGAGCACACAGTTAAGGAAGATTGAGTTTTTCCTTCTCAAATATGCATCAAGGATTCTGGGATCAACCTCTTGTAATATGGAATGAACCTGGAAAAAAAATTACACACAAAATGCTTTTAGGTTCATATCTTGATATATCTTTCAGATTTTATGAAGAGGAAGAATCAAAAGGGGTTACCATATACTCCGTAACATTTTGCTCTCTTATTCATTTTCAGAAAACATTTATTCATAATATATGAGCCCTTCACAAATTTTACCTCCAAACTGACCCTTAAGATACGTGGAGTAACAAAAGAATGTTTCTTTAAGTGGCAAGGGAAGTGTCCAAACTACCTGTGCATGTGATAGAACTCTTTGTTTAGATTCCACATCTTCCGGTGTCTTGGAATATTCAACTGACACACTACAGCCTTCAGTTTGTCCATCACGAGGAATTATGTCCCAAAAATCAGAAGCCAGACCATACTTCTCTACTAACTTTCCATTCACTTCTGCTACAATCGCAGTCCTTTTGAATATGTTTCTTGATGACACTTTAAATTTCATTGGTGGGTAATCTTTAAACTTTGTCTGCATTATTATTCAAGGAAGAACAAGATAAAAGTACTATGAGGCAAGGAAAAGTTCAGGAAATGCCAGAATTGCCCTTCAGGAGAATGGGTGAAAGCAATTCCCCCACTACACTCAAATGGTATTGTTGTCAAATCTATAGAACTGATCAAACTTACATCACAATGCTTGCAGTGCTCCAACTCATGTTGCCCTGATGTGGAAGAAGCAATCTAAAAAAGAAAGCATCCAGGTTTAATTAAGAAACAAAATATTCTACATATATATAGGGATAAAGAACAAATATACTATTAGAACTTCATGTGTGAGGTCAAATATACCCTTCAACTTCGTTTTCAAACAATTAAACACAATTTTTTTAAATTTGGAACAGATATACCCTTGAATTATATATTAAAGAACATATATACCCCTTAATAATCACATAATAAGATACTCCTTAACCATTTGGACCTAATGGCTTGATTGTTCTAACTACGATTTTTGTGTATAATCGTTCCGAATGAAAGTTGAGGGGTATATTTGTACCTTCTGCATATTTTTATATAAAGAAAGCTAAAGACAGTTAGTTAAATGGAAGCTTGAGCCCAAACTTATATATAAACAATTTGATCAAAATATGAATACAAATATACTATTTTACCAAATTTGCAGTTGAAGTTCAACTCACCGGCTAAAATTGATTTTCTTATACATGCACTTAGAACTCTAAGGGAAAAGTATAACTTAGAGAGATAATTGCATGAAGAATGTGTCATTTAAATAAGATTCCTATTTTACCAAGTGATAAACTCACACTAATACCTGACCTTAATCCTATTTTTGCGAGCACATTTACATCCAGGGCAAACTTTATTGAGAATTTGTGCAACTTCTGATAAGAAGAATGGGTTTATAATAGTGTATGGTAGGTCGATTAGACCAAAGTGCCCTGCAAATAATTGAAAACAAAGGCACATTAGTTGTTAAGTAATAGAACTGCAGGGGACATTGCACACGTTACATATAGCTTCCAAGTTTGCCTATCAGACCTTCACATTCTTTAGCATCCTTTATGCTGTGTCGGGCTGCCTTGTCTGTCACACCACAGTATTTCACATCTTGCACTCCGCACGTAAGGCACTTACCCAGTGCATTTGGCAATCCTAAAGCGGGGTCCGTTACTTCATTCGCTACTCCTATCACCTTAGCTGAAATTTTTGCCTAGAGATAAAATAAGCAAAAAAAAAACTATCAAGCAAGGATGAAAGAATTGATCTTTCACTAAGTACTGCCTTAAGACTTAAGGATATGTTTGGATCACAGAAAATGCTATGGAAAGGAGAGAACGGCTAAGGAAGATTGATTTCTTTTCTTCCATACTTGCCCCATATCCTCCCTGTTTTCTTTCCCTGTCATTTTCCAAAATCCAAACTGACCACTAAGTGACTCAATGATCACAAAAGGGAGAAAATAACAAAAACGGGAAAATGCAGTGGTAAAGAACCCAGGTTCATCAACATTAGCTAGAAAATAACCTGTGTCATTGATGAACCTGTGTTCTTTACCTCCTAAGAAGTATCTACACATTAGCATGAGTCATTGATGAACATAAAAAGAAAGTAATTAAATACTCACGGCATCCGAAGTTGATAGGATGTCAAAATTAATGGCCCTCAAAACACCAGACTTCATTGGTTGCTCTACTTCCAACTCATGCTCCATCTTAAGTGTATAGATTTTGCTCTGGAAAGGAAATGATGAAAGAGTTAACCAAATACGGAGTAGCATACATTGAATCTCAGAAAACTAATCTAAAATAAGCACAAAAGGGGATTAATAAAATACTCCAACTCTCCGAGCAAAATTCAGCAGGAACTATTGATTCTCAGCATTCATTATTTATTTAGCTAATAGTTTCAGAGGTTAAGGCATGAACAAAAGAACCCTATTACAGCAAACTTAAAAGTTCCTTTTTTGCCTAGGAAGTCAAAAACGATGGTTATTATGTAGTATTTATATTTGAATATTCTAAAATATTGAATCTCATCTTTAAAAAACTACACGTCTGCTAGCCAAAACAGGGAGGGGGGCAGGTGCTGTCAAGGAGGCCAGGCACCTAGCGCAGAGATTTTAAGAAAAAAGACATAAGTTCAAACCGCTCAAATTAGAGCTATTTAGAAGCTTATATACAATTAATTAAATAGCAGAGCATCACTAACCCTCCTGAAGATATGATCAAAGCTGTAGAATAACAATTAAGATTTACTCCAAAAAAAAACTAACAAGAAGACCAAAAAACTTGAGGAACAAAGGGTGCTGCCACACACAATGTACTGATAAATCAATGGGAAGAAACTGATGCCACATGCATAGTTGCATTGGGCTAACACTGCACAAAAGTTGGTCTAATTTAGACCAAAAAAAGATTCAGCTTTCAACCCCAGTTTAGTTTAGTTTATACAAAGAAAACAGACAAAGCATCCAAAACCTACATTCAATGAAAGGCTCCAATCAACCCAACATCTTTTCAAAAAAATTAAAAAAAATAAACCCATACCCCATCCCCTCCCAGCAACTCCCCAAACAACCACATTGTTAGAGCACAAGAAAACCTGCAAACCCACACAAGAATCAAAGAGAAAATCAATACTTCTCCATAGAATGCAGCTATGAATCAGCATTGCACTTACTCTGATGATCAAGAAAACTCAAGATTTTAGCCAAGAACAGAGCAAAGGAAGGAAAGCATAAACCGCATACTCCTCAAAAGCTAAAAATCAAATCTTTACTTCAAGTCTTCAACGATTCTTCGTCCAGTTGCAAGGGGAGCTTGCGTGTGTGGGGGGAGGGTAGGGGGGAGTTTGAAGTGTACTGTGTACCTCTGCAAAAAGGGCCTTTTTCGAGAGTTAATATTATGTTGACAGAGAGTCTTCGGGCAGTTCGGTAAATAGCGAGAAAATCGAGGGTCTTGAGAGAGTATCCAAAAAGAAAAGAAAGCGTAAAGGCGTCGGGTAATTGTCGAGTTGGAGGCAAAGCGACAAGAGAAAAACTGAATCCCTCTGCCGCCACCTCATGTTAAGTGTGAGACCTGTTTCCTTTTTTCCCTCATTAATACGATTCTATACGATTTTAAAGAGATCCTTTTTCCCCAACTACCAAAAAGTCTCGTTTGAAACAGTCTCATAACGTTTGATCTCTGTGTATTTTATAATTGTGTATTTTATAATTGTGTAGTTTCACATTCAAAACCAAAACATTCCAACTTAATATCATGACTTGATTAATACCCGGATTATCCGTGCATTTTCGCATGTGTAATAATGGCCTGACCGCCTGATGAATTATGTAGGGTTGGCCACGAGAAACGAACTGCAATAATATAGTTTGAACTGCAAAAAAAATTGAAATTGAATAGCAAACAAAAAACGAACAATGATTGCTCTGTTGGACTTCGTTTCAGCCTTTCAAAGCCAAACTAATAAAAATGTGATTTTTTATTGACTTGATATTTGGTGTTATATTTATTAGTACAAATTTATTATTTAGGATATTAACTTGTCATATTCAATGTTTAATCTAGTTTAAAATTTTGTTTAGATTTCTATTCCCTATTAGGATGTTTTCTTTTGGACTGAAATTTGCTGGTCTGGTCTGGTCTGTTTAAGTCTGGTCTGGTCTGGTCTGAACTGGTCTGGTAAACATCTGGTCTCTGTGTATTTTATAACTACGGAAGTCTGGTCTGGTCTGGTCTGTTAAAGTCTGGTCTGGTTTGATCTGTTTAAATCTGGTCTGGTCTGGGACTGAAAACAGTCCAAAAGAAAACATCCTTACTCTATAGTCTGTACAATACATCTCTATTGATCTGTTACGTTTCTATGATATTAATAATTATCCCTCCGGTTTTTAATAAATTTCACACTTTCTTTTTTGGACGGTCTAAAATAAACTTCACACTTCCTTATTTCCTTTTTTTGGCAAAGAAATTTACATCAAAACAGTGTCAAACAGTGTCTCAACAGTGCCAAACAGTGTCTCTACAGTACCAAACAGCGTCAAACAGTGCCTCAACAGTGTACTCTACAGTAAAGTCAAATTTTTTTCCTTATTTTGTGTGAAGTCAAAGTGTGAAGATTAAATAAAACCGGAGGTAGTAGTTAATTGATGTGCATTAGTTGCTTTTTTAGTTGCTTCTTCTAGTAACTTTTCAATCTTTTTTATAGGCTATGTTTGGTGGGCATAAGTCCCTGACTTCTAGCTTTTGTAGTGTTCAAAAAGTTCTTAAAAGCTTCTAGTTGTGTGTTTGGCATGACAATATTTAAGAGCTTTTCAAAAATTAAAAGATCTTTTTTGAGATGCTACCGGGAGTAGCATCTAAGAAAAGCTAGTGACTTTTAGTATTAATTAATCCTAACAGCTTGTATACCAAACTGAACTAAATCAAACAGTCAGCTTTTTATCAAACAGCTACCACCTTTTCTTTTTAAGATATTTTCAGTCACTAAAAGCTAACAGGTATTAAAAAGCTCACAAAAGTATCTTTTCAGCTAGTTGTGCCAAACATGCCCATAGTCTAGTAGCTTTTAATCTTTTATTCTATAATTAATTGAGAGAAAAATATAATTGTTAACCCCATGTGTACATCATAGAACATATATATTAATGATTTTTTAACTAAGCACAAAGGGTTTGACGATAAAAAAAAAAACTAAGCACAAAGGGTGTATATGAAGAATTACAAAAGTGTTGTATAAAAAGGTTACAGAGTATTTTTTTAAGTTATACCGCCAAGAATTAATGTATATACCCCGAACAAAACAATTTTACATTTCTTTTTTATAGACAAGACTACATATTTTTTAACACATCTCATATTTTGTAATCACCCGAAATAATGCAATCCTGAGAGAAATTCTAGGCGATGCCCCCATACCTTCGATCATTGACATCTCGGGTTGGTGCAGTCATCGTCTACAATGTTCTATTGATATTGGTGACTTCATCCCACGTTAATCAAATTAGCTTGCTAGAAACAACTGCCCTAACCCTAACCAAACCTTAAGTGACTCTAGCAGTAAGTGTTGTTGTCCTCACGCCCTAATCCTAGTCCAAAAAGTTTCTATTGACTGCCCTTAGTGATCAAACCCTACTTCAACTACTACTTCACAACTCTATACCTGTCATTGCAAAATTCAATCATCACAAATTCTCGAACATCCAAACCCTAGAAGCGCCACATATGGATGCCACAAAATCTCTTCTCCTGAAACACTAGTGCACCCCCCGAAGGGGTGGCAGTGCTACATCGATGTTACAGAGAGAAGGAAAAGCGAAGCGATATAGGAAGACGAGTGAAGAGGAGGTAGTGGTCGGGTGGTGGTCTCCTGACCAAGAAGGGTGGTTAGGCCGTGGTGGTGTAGGTTGGACAGTGGAAAGAGAGATGATAAAATAAGATATTAGGATTATGCATGAGCGTACATATAAGGGTTTTTGTGATTGAACACACAATGTAGTCGTATATCCGACTAGAATATAGCTAATGACATTTCCATCCCATGAAACTCATTTATATATAGTATTATATGTGCCAATAATATTTCTTCTATTTTTAGTTCCATGATCATGTGATTATTTAAGGCTACAACTTTATATAGTGTGTTATCTACTTGTTCTTATTTGTTTGTTACAAATGATCATATCTTACTATTGGACAAGATATTAGAATTAGACTTATAGAATAGTTTTTACATTTAAGTCTTCATAAAAATTTCCTTATTAACGATAGCTCGCTTATTAATGCACTATACAAATATGGTTGAATTACACAATACAATAATGCTAATTTGGGAAAGCTATTTAGTGTGTGCAAATAATTCATATATAAATAGATAAAAATTTGATTAACCTAAACCACTATTCTAAAAACCGGCCTAGTCGGACCGATTAATCGTCCTAGTCGGCCTAGTCGGTCTTCACTGTAGAGGACTAATCGGCCTAGTCGACCAAAAAATCGGTCTAGTCGGACAAAAATTCGGCCTAGTCGGCCGACTAGGCGCCCCTCAACCGCCCGACTAGCGCCTAGCGAGTTTTAGAACAATAACCTAAACTAATAAATATGGATATGTTGTAAGGAAGTGCTTATCATTTCCATTAGGTAAGCCCCCTTTCGATAGGGAGAATTAGAGTTTTACAAGACATGATCATAATGCATATATTTTTTTTTATAATGACAACACACTACATGTAACTTCCTTCTATACTTTACCTTGCGTGAGTTGTAGATAGAACGATGAACACCAAATTGTATGGTAACAATTTAGTCAAGTAACAAAAACCATGTAAGAAAAAATATCCTTGATGAAGGGTGGATAACAATATGAAAGTTGTGTTAGATTTCATTCATTAAGTCTTTGATTCTTCATTCTTAGATCCCTACTTCAATCAATATGTATTCTTATCTCATAAAAAACTTGTCAAGTACTAAAACTCAGTGGAAAAATAAACATTGATTTAAGGAAGAGCATAATGTAATGGTGTCTAGGTGTAAGACGACCTCTGAAGTATATATTTCCTCCTGATGTTTACATTAATCAACAGATTTATAAGATATTTCGCATTAATCAACAGGTTTATAAGCTTGTTTGATTTACTTCAATCATTAGGAAGCCATGTTAATGCTCATTATAGAAGAACTTGGTAGATATATGTTTTGTATTATCAACCTTGATGTAACCCAACTTGCACTATTTTCATAAATGCAGGTTCTTCAGTGGTGGATTTTAAATCACTAGTCCTCGAACATGTGTAATAAGGGTCCAATTATATACACTTATGAACTGCCTCATGTAGAGTGATGTTTGAATGTTTATAAAAAGAATAATCTTTGCCAAATGTGTTTTGTTACTTGGACATTGTTAAGGATGCATGATGTAATCCTTCTTATACTTCAAACGATGTTTTTTTTCTTTTGAGTGACATTTTTGACAAACTTTTGAATGACATTAGAATGAGTCCCAATAAATTGCAATGTGTTTGATATTCACTCCTCGGACCGGACCGGCACTATTTTGAACCGGCCCGAACCACTTGAACAGGTCCGGGATCGGGCCTTTGGCCTGACCCGGGAGGGGTTTTGGGGCGGGTAACGGGCTAGAGCCTCTTGGAACCTGCCCGGCCGGTCCGGGACCGGTCTTGGCCCAAAATGTTTTTTTTTTAATTTTTTCGAATGGGTCAGGTGGTAGGCGTGTTGGGCTGGGTGGTTTCGGGGTGTTTGGGGGTGGGGGTAGAAACAACCGAAACTTTCGCAAGGAGACTTAAAAGTTTAAAAAATATCACATTTTTTACTGTTTAAATTTTCTTTCAAAAACGGACCAGTTGTCTTTCGTTTTCACAAATGGACCGTGTGAATAGTAAACACGTGTTTGGTCTGCAGTCCTTTTAAGCGGCATAAGTGGATTAGCTTAAGGCCTCAAGGAAAGTCATAATTCTTAGTAAAGTGCACCGTTACTTCATTTTTAATTTTGATTTCTAAACTGAATACAAAACAAACCTTTAAAAAGAATAATAAAAAATAATAAAAGAATACTTCGTAATAAAAGACTAACATAATAAAAATACTCAAATTAAAGAATAAAAAATCTCATAATCAGAAAATGTAATTAAATTTTAACAATAAAGAGAAAAATCTAAATCTTTAAACTAAAACAGAAAAAAGTAAGCAAAACCTATACATAAATATGACTAAAACAAATACTCCCTCCGTCCCGAAAAGATTTGTCAAATTTCCTTTATTGGATGTCCCAAAAAGATTTGTCATTTCCATTTAAAGTAAGAAATATGTGGCTAAAGTTAAGTCTCTCTCCTCTGCACAAATTTCAACCACACAGTTGTTACTTTATGAATCCACGTGAAAGTCAAAGTTGGCAAACCTTTTCAGGACGGAGGGAGTATGATTTGCTGAAATATGACTAGTTCTAGAGTAGCAATGAAATCATAGTGATTCATGTTCAAGTTTTGAACTTAAGTTAACACAACACTACATTGTAGTAACGAATAATTATATT